CCGACTGCCGCGTTCATTATGTTTTAGCATTGATTTTCAAAATCAATCAAAACATTACGTGGCTATCAAATTTAAACAATTTTTGCAGGAAATTTAGGTCAAGATGGCAGTTAGAAGCTTAAATTTTAATACTATACTACTTGATTTGTTTAAAAAACATTTTTTTTAACGTTAAACTACTACTTTTATTCACTTGCTCCTTCCTTCTTACATAATATGTTATCTGTCAAGTTTAAGTAATAATAACTTTAATATAACATGTTTAGTTAGTTGAATATTTTATAAATGCATTCCAAATTTAGTCGATTTCCGTTGACAATGGATAGCTTAAATGCTGTTTGTATGTATCCAACAGTGTTAAAATAACCGAAAAAAGTTTGTTGCAGATAACTATCCGATTACATATCGGGTACGTCAAAAATGGCACAGCCATGTTTGAAAGTGTCAAAAAATATATTATTATGTAAAGGATATTCCGAACTGTGTAAACAAACATATTTTATACACCTCGATGCGTTACTCTGGTGGATTGTATCGAAAATCATACAGCTGTTTTTTTACACGTACTTGTTTACTTTTGCACGTTTTTTTTTTTTTGATTAGTTTGCCTAAAAAGAAAACGCTGTTTTCAGCTCGTCGATGGGATTTGTGTATACTTTGGTACACTGGCAGTTTTGCACGTGCCTTTTGTTACACGCATACGCGCCTTTGGATTTTTTTAAATGTATTTCAATTGGTTTATGAGTTTATGCAATAAACAGTGCACACGCCAGATTTTGAAAAGGCTGCATTGTGGTTTTTAATAAACACTCGCTCAACATTTTGTATTATTAATCATTTCCTGCGTTTGATTTATGATTGCCAAATGCGATCTAGAGTTCACTTTGGATAAACCAAAATTCTCTGAATTCTCAAAATTATTTGTTATATTATTTGACACAACATTCTCAGTCGCATTCATGCGCTCAAAATCTCATGTGTATAAAATATAAATGTATACTACTTTTGTTATTATATAAGTCGAGTGATTTACGTTGTACCCAGAACCTTCAACAGGAAGTCAATAATTAAAAAACATTTTTCAAGTATTTTTTTCCACAGGACATAATATACTTTAAAAGGAAGCTGCTAATTATTTAAAATATTAAAGCGGTACAGCGCAATTGAATTTTTAGTATATTTTTTGTATCTAAATAAAAATTTTACATTTTAATAGAGTTATACCAAACGATGACACCGAGATGTTCATTGCACTTTAAAATGGCCTTACAGTAAATAAACTTTGTAAAATACATTTAAAAAAAATTAATACATTTATTTATATTAAAACGGTTTTCAGTTTTAAGGAAGATATGACGCTCTGTAGGTGCCATATCAATTAATTTACATTTTTATTTACAGATAATATGTTCATATCTGTATTTTAATTAAAAAAAAAGAATAATTTTGTTGATTATACGTATAAGTAAGTTCACATTCGATCAATGTGACTTGGTATAATTCTCTCAAGTGGTTATGAGGCAGTTTTTATAATATTCAATAACTATTTTTCTTTTCCTTTCCTAATTCTCTATCCCTGACCATTGCACAATCCGAACTAACATCTTTTACGGGGTTAAGATTCTCTCCCACTGGAAAAAACAGAGATTAGTCCGTAACACCAATAAAATTGTTAAAATAATCAAATAAACGTGAGTATTCTTATGAGTTTGCAACCTTTGAGTTTTTATACATAATAAAACTATGCCGTAAAAAAATAATTAAGCCAAAGTGTTTTCCGCTAAAACCTTGTAAAAAAATAAAGCTAATTAAAATTTCGGAAAAATATGCTATACATATAGATATATGGTAAATCATCTCGTTGCGTTTATTAAAACCCTACCTAACCTTGAAATTGATCAAATGTTTAGTAGCCGCTACTGTTGTGCTCTTAACAATTACTTTAGACGTAATTTTAAGCCAGACACAAAGAAAAATGTCTTTTGTTTCTATGCATGTTTGTATACTGTATAGAATATAAATATATGAGTAAAATATACTCTCGCCTTTTTGGGACTGGACATACCTAAATGGGAAAAAAACCTACCGAAAAGTGTTTAAGGATTAAAAGCTTTCGATTAATTGTGTTATCGACTGTTAAACAAAACAATTAGTAAAGTAACAAGGGTTTATAATAAGGTTATTTTGTATGCCCTGTTCCCGTATTTAGTAATTGATGGGCACGAGTTTGCCATAATATTTTAAAATGATTACACCGAAGCCTGAATGGAGGCTAAAACAAAGTGGAAACCCGGCGAGTAATTACGGAAGGGATATTAACAATATTATCAACCAGCAACGACCAGGTGATAATATAAAAGTAATTTTTTTATTGCGCAGAGGTACTTGTTTTCAATTACAGTGGTAATTACTAGTGTGATTATTATTTTAACGGTGCCTGAGCTGCAATCGGTTGTCGTAACGAGATCTATTAGGGTAAATAAACCGAAGTTTTCCGGTATCTTCGAATAGTCGGTTTTCTGGAATAAATAGTAAACTGTACAAAACCATTTGAGTAGGTTTCTAAAGGATAATGATTTTTTAATTAATATGTATATAATTTTTTTGGAAAAAAGTTTTCTATACAAAATTATTTGTTGGCCGTATTTAAATATGGTATTGAAATTGTCTTGACTTAAAAGCCATATTAATAGAAACCGCAACGAGAAAATCAAAATGTTCTTAAACACATATTAAAGTTTATTTCCCCCAAAAAAATGGTTTTCTTTATTGTAACTTGTTAGCACCGTGACCATTCCGATTTTATTCATTGTGTTCCAAAACACTTATTTATTTTCGAAGTAAAATAATTTATCCCTTGAACATAATATTCTGTTGAAAGCATATTACATTCCAACTTATGTTTAGAGGTGAGAGCCGGCCATTCAAATAAGTACCTTACCGGATGGAACACATTTTCCGAGAGAATGGCCGGCAACGACGGTAAACAGGATAAAAGCGACAAAAGGAAAATTGCCCCCCAAAGCTGAGATGTATAGCGGCTTGTTTTCACGGAACAATGCGAAGGACATACTTATAATTCGGTGAATGCATTGAGGCGTTTCGAGTATTGTAAACGAGATGTATACACAAAGTCCTCGCAAAACGTCGGCGATACAACGTTTGTGGGAAAATTATTATTAAACAAAAAAACATATTTATAACATCATATTATTATCATTATTATAAAAATTAAATTAAAACCTTGACAAAGGAAGTTAATGTCTATACAAAACTAGCAGGTTTATAGTTTATTAACATCACGGCGACGACAACAACGACGACGAAGACGATGACGAGCGCCTAATAACAGTTTCAAGTCTACAAGACAGAAACATTCGTTTGACACGTAAGCTTAAAGTGCTTTTGCTCCACTGGTCCATATTATATACCTAATGGCGTGTTGCGCTAACGCTTATTAAAACTAATTGTAGTGTACTTAAATGCTATACATATGCGTGCCCGACACAGTGTGTAAGCTTCAGGTTGTCAACATTCATAATAGGATAAAGTATGTAAAGACGCCGCGAAAATTAAGTTATACAACGACTTCAACACGAATTATAGCGTACGACGTTTTCCCTCTTAACATGACGGTTTTATTTTGTAATCATTTTAAATAACGTGATTTCGATTTCGTTGGTCCGAGGAAAAATAGTTTACTATACGTCATAAAAGAGCATAAAACGATAAACGGTTAACGTTTTTCTGCATATTATCAAGTATAATAATATACCAAATATGTGTATCTGAAACTTGTTTGATATTACAAAGGAAAATATTGCGAAAGAGGTTTCAATAAAGTACGCCAGTAAAGGATATGGAAACGAAAAAAAGAAATAACATAGAGCTGGAAGCAATGTATAGAGAAAGGATATAATATTATAGGATATTATTGAAGGGGACTAACGTGGGTCGGCGTTCAACAAACCCTGTCAGGATAAAACCGCTTGGTGAATTAAAACTTAAAAATGAGATGAAAGGATGTAGTAAAAAAGGATGTGGGCAATCTGTATTGCGTTAGACAAATCTAGTCCTGTATATAATACATTACAAACAAGTTGAAGGAAAGCAAAAAAAAAAAAGCTGGGCAAAGTTACTTTTCTCAAAATTGTTTAACTAAAAAAAAAACTTTGTCAGTTAACAGCTGATCAATGATCATTAATATGCGATTTCGATTCTATATCACCCTTTTATATTCTAACATATTCTATGTCTTTCTTTATATTATTATGTAGAACCCATCGAAACAAATACCCGCTTAGATCCTTGTTCCGTTAGCGATGATAAGACGTATACATTTGTATTTTTTGTGTAACATCAGATAGAAAATATTGGCTACTCTAAACGTTTTCAAATTACGTTTTACCATGTCATTTTGGGAGACTTAGCTGTTGTCGGTAATGATCGTGTTCTTTATATTATGTAAATACGGTACGGTGTTAAATTTCTGGATAAATTAATATGTAGAGATTCCCGGGCAAACATTATGTAAATTGCTATGCCGCCCACGTCTTTTGAGTATAGCACACAAGACCAAGGCTTCAGCTTGTTTTAACCTAATTTCATGTGCCATCATCCTAAAAGTCTCTATAACTTCACTTCCGTTCAAATTGTATGGAGCTTTTTCGTTTATCTCATAAAAAAAACAACACAATATATAGGTATACTCAATTTGTGCACACAAATAAATAATTTATTTTACCATAAAATAACAATTAAATATATTTACTGTTCTATTTGGACGTTTCTCATTAATTTAATTACCTATTGATGGTGGTTTAGGCAGCACAATTAACTCCAGATTTTACATTCATTCAGTTGTCTAGTGTATCTCGTCTACAACTGGTACATTATTCGACACTTTTTTTGGAGTAATAATTTGAGATTTTTTAAAATTGATTAAGTACCTATTTATCATACAATCAGTAGGTTTTTGGAAAAACTATAAGTAAATGTACCTTATCAGTTCCGGACGATGTAGTTTGAGCTGTATGAGCTAGCTTGGCTTCCAAACTGCCACCCAATACTGCGTACCAACTGGAACCGATTTCGCCTTGCCTGAACACTGAAAAAAAAAACGTTAAAGCGTTTGAATTAAACCGACACATTTTAAGGGGTTTTAAATATATTTTCTAATAATATTTAAGATGGGCATAGTAATGGGATTTTTAAATTCCTCTTGCGAATATAATAAAACGACAATAAATAAACTTGTGATGCCCTATCGCATTACTATTATGGGGAAAAATGAATCACTGAATCTGTTAATACAATAGTAGCGCGAGCTCCTTAATATTGTGTTCATTTAGCAGTCAGTGAGACGGTAAGTATTATGTTTAATCGGGCAAAGCATTACCGCTATAAGCCCACGACTCTTACTTAAACAACTAATATAATTAAAATCTACCTCCAGAACAAAGTAAATGGGCATCTTAACTTTAAATAATAATTTTCTCGCCATTGAGAATATAGTAAATAAAAATTAAAAGTATTGATTATAAATATTATTAAATTTATAATCAACGATAAAGGTCAATATCGTTTTGCGTTAATTCCAGTCCGCAAAGTTGATATTTATCTTAAAGAATATTTAAATTTAAAAAAAACGAGCATAATGCTAATACCTTTGTTATTTAAACTCCGTATTGTTGTATAAGTGAATTATCCAAAATTAAACGATTAATATAGATAATAATTTAGCATGCATCTGGGATTCTTGGAACTCTTTGGCCTTTGGAATTTAGCGAATATACTTAAACGAACGTACAAACCTTATAATATCCTTAACATCTAATACCCCTCAACATAATATGTTAAACACAAAATGTAAATGTTTTATATAATATTTGACCGTTGCTGCAATATCTCATTTGTTGTACCTGCATTACATTTTACTATTATGATAACTTCGTTATTTTTTTCAAACGCAAAGCGGAGGTTTTAGCTTTTTCGTTTTTTTAATAAAAGGATACGTTTGGTACGTTCCCAGAAATACGGCGTTTCGATAGAATCCGTAACTAGAGGCTCGTATGTATATAAAAAAAATATTCCACGCGCTTGCATTTATTCTATAAGTATATCGCAAAACATATTATATTGTACACCTACAGGCGGTAAGATACAAAAACACTAAATAAATAAATGCACATTATTTATGCGCGCACATGCGTGCAAAACAAGTATATAGTAAACGATATTTTATGTAGTTATTTTCATGTTCTTAGAATCAGTTATTCTTTTTCTTTCGAACATCTGTTGGAAAACAACTGGAAATGGCCGTTTGCCGTATGCGATAAGTAGCAACGACTAGCAACGGATATCCATAATAAAGCTCGCTAAAGTTAATATTCTCGACGTGATATGAGCCGGAACGAAAAGAAATTACCCGGAATTGCACGTACGAGTTACAAAATCGTAATGCCTATGTAATTTATTTTAACTTTTAATATATCATTTCAAAAGGTCCCTCACAGTCGGTTGTTAAGTATTTAAAAATAAACCTTGCCGCTTGATCTATTAAAGTATACCCGGTGGTCTGACAGAATTTACATTCATTTCATACTTCAACTATTGAAGTATCTACAATGGAAAATATTGAGATTTTTTAAATCAATTTTTCTAAATAAAATGTAGACAAAAAATATTTTTAAGTATAAACAAAATACACATTGAAAAAATGTAAATAGTTTATTTTTAGTTTTTTAACTTTATTAAAAGTTCGATAAAAGGCTGTAAATTTATTCGTCGAAATTCTACGACCTTAGTAATATACCTTATACGCGTTGGTGTGTGGTAAAGGAGGTGTGGATTATTGTACACAAATTAAGTTGCAACTAGCGTCCATGATATATTGATTAAACAATAGGTTGTACTGGTATTTGTAGTGGGTTCATAATTCTCCAGTAGTAGCATATAATAGTATCTGTTTAATAGTAATTTGTGTTAACTATTGTTTACCTAAAATACAAGAAGGTTTAAAAGAAAATTGGCATACATTTAATGTGTGATTTAGATTATATTAAACACATGAATAAGAAATTGCTAATTATTGATAATCTCCGCTGTTCGTGGCTGTGTAAATATTACATAATGTAGGTAAATATGGAGGACATTTATAAGAAGGAAACCAGTTTACATGCAACTTGATCTGAATAAAGTGAGGTCAAAGTTAAATTTTGACTGTTAATCTAAATGCCTTCAAATAAGTGTCGTGTCTATTTTTCACAAACATAATTCTATTTTGCGTATTTTCCATCCTAAAATATATTCTGGTTATAGTCCTAACCGGAACTGCTCTTAACTGATGTTTCATAATATTGTACACTGGATCCCTTCTGATAGATTCTGTCTATATGTATCAAATAAATTATGTTAATAAGTCACTCAAAGGAAGGAAATTGTAATTCACTAAACTTTAGAATGTATGAAAAAAAAGAAAACTATACAAAAATTCAGTATCTGACATTTTCAATTTCCATAGGGAATATACTCAGTAGCTCTAAATATTACTGTTGTAAAATATTATTACTTTTTTTTTCGTGCGTCAATCATGAAAATAAATATTCTAAAGATGAATTTAGGTACGTCGAACTGTAGCAGCTAGTTTTGTAAAGAAAAGTTATTTTTTCTTTAATAAATTTAATTTATGAATTTTGTTTTTATTATTAAAATGTATATATTATATCGTATGATTCAGAGAAACATTTTACAAGCTACTATAATAACACGTTTACGTGTAAAGTTTAAACGACAACTTTATGAGCTACGGTAATGCAGTCGTTTTTAAATTACCCACATTTTAAATAGTAATTTTAATCAAATGTTCTGTGTACTGGTCTTGCAATATTAATCAAAATATTTTCATCATTGTAAAGTATATTAAGTCCAAATTAAAATAGAAATTCGACTTTAGATTGATAATAAACTCGTTTGGCCGTTCTAAGAAATGTCTAAAAATGCGAATCTTCACTCTGTACCTAATTCCTAAAATTCATAACTCATAATTTACTCTGTATTATGTGAAAAATGCAAAGCTGCAGTATATTATCAATATAAAAAAAAAAACATTTATAAATGTATTATTTAAAAAAAAACTTGTAGTCAAACAATTATGAATAAATAATTTTAGAGTTTCGATAGAGTGTAAGTATAATTAAAATTATGTATCTAATGCTAATTGGCATTAAAATAACTTTATTTTAAGTCTGCTATAAAAATGTGCCATGTTTTAGTAAATAATAATTACAACTACTCTAGTGTATACAGATCCAAATAACTTCAGTTTTCAAATCATCTTTATCTTTTAGTTATTTTAAAATTATTTGTGTGTTTATTTTAAATACTTTCCGTATATTTTTGCTTTTAGCTTCGATGCGATAGCAAGAAGCTATTTGTTTAAATAACAATGTGTTTTTTTAGTGTCTGTAGATAAGATAACTTTTTTTCTGTAAACTGAATTACTAATGTAGCACTTCTGTAGATCCGTATCGTGTGCAGATGGTACTTTGGTGGGTCAAAAGTAAAAATGTCATCTTCTTCATTCCTCACAACCGGAAAAAACCAAAGAAAAATTTGATCGATTTTTTAACTATCAACTTTGGTTTGCTATAGCTTTGAAAAACCGGTCGGATCGAGTCGAAATTTGTATAAAACATTGATTAGGCATGCCTATATATACTGTACTTTGGACTGTGCTAGTTTACACTTAACTAGTTTAGACTGTAATTGGTTTGAACTGTGATTGGTTTTTTTTTGTGTACCTGTAATTGCTACGACAGCAATAAAACATCGCTGTTAAAAACAAAAATATACCTTTGAAATGTATAAATTAATTGATCTTATAGTGTATTCATGCAAAAATACTAAATGCCATTTTATAAAAGTTAAATGCCAAGGAAGTCATACGGTTGTGGTAAGGCTACATTATATGAACCCAAAAATTGTGTAATTAATTTTGCAATATAAACAATTTAATATCTGGCATACAACATGTAACACATATATGGTAGTTATTATTTTTTATCGAAATTCATTTTTTTTTTTTTTAAACCTTTTTAATAATAGTCTTAAGATTAGGGCTTTTACCGAAATATTTGAACTATTTTTCGACATGGTACCCTTACACCTATAGTTTAAGATTACAAATTTTAGCTTAAAATATCCGTATATTTTATAATATTGTGATATTCTTCATTCGTAGTATTATAAAATATTCGAGTACTTTACGTATTGTAAATACTTATCAATATTTTTATGAATAACGACAAATGTATAGCTTTTCCTCCAGCCAATTTCTCAAACTGCCAACAATTCCATAAATATTTGTTCAAAACTTGTTATCGACGAGCTAATTATTAATAACTGGATTCGTGATATAATAAATACATAAAAAACATAAAATACATTTTTTTTTGGGGGGGGGGGAATTTTAACGAGTAGAACTGTTTTTTAGCGTGTACAGAACTTTGTTAACCAGAGGCCTAAATGTGGAGTTCCAATCCATAATGTATTAGATTTTATATTGTACTCTGAATTTTCGTTGTATGAAACGCGCTAGTAGGTATAATATTATAATAATAAAAGATAAAGTGTGTAAACAACACAGTTTGTAATATTTTTTTTGCGTCTTATTTACCTTAAATTCGTATCAATATGAAACAACATGGTCTATGTACCCAGATTTTTCGTACTATTAAATGCGTTAGTACGTATATAAAAGACCTTAAGCTATTGTGTGTAAAAACACAATTATTTTTCATTGTTGTTAGTGCCTTATTTTTTTAGTTTCGTATCGATGTGAATATGGGTCCACACAAAGCACTTCTCTAAATCAATACACAACCACAAAAACAATTTTACAAATTGGAAATTTAGGACACAACAGTGTATTAAAAAATAGCTTGAAATCGACGTGCCTTTCATTTTTAAATATGTAGGAATAATTTTTGTACTTTGAATTTATTGTTCTTATATAAATCGTATTTAAGACAATCCAATACCAATGTGGTTGACCAGCCAGGAGATTTTTTTTACAACTCTCGTTATAAAAATATACAAGGTGATCAA